TTAAGAATCAGATTAACTTTGTTTTAAATTCCTGCTCATGACTGAACGAGTTGAGAGCTATCTTCCTTAATTAAAGGGCTTCAGCAATCAAACTCTATGCCCATAAACATAATGGGCTTCATATAAACATAACTGGAAAGTCAATAAAAAAAGTGCAAGAAGGTTGTTTTATGTTTTCCTGTGATTAAGTCAATCAGTGAAGAGTTAGAGGAAACAAACTGAAAAAAAAAGGAGTGTTTTGATGGGAGTGAAATTTGATGTTTTGTCTGTGTGGCAGTATTGTTTGCTTTTCTTCCTAAAGGAAGGCATTAGAAAATGAAAAAAAATAACCCAAACAACTCATGCTTCAAGTGTGGAAATATGCTTCAAAGCTGTAGCCAGAAGTCACACATAACATGTGCAACATAACCAAAGTCACTAACATGAACGTCTTTCCACATCCTCCTGCACACAAGTCTAGAAATGTATTTCCATGGTGAATTATTGGCTCACATGAACAAGAATTATTTCTTCACACCTTGAAAATTATATCCTGACTACCAACCTTCATACAATAGGAAAACACCTCCATACTGCTCCTCTAACACCTTGGATCAAAATCGTCTTTAAGAATAACAAGAAGATAACAGTTCATTTCCAAGGGTATAGTATCTAACTTTTATGATAGAAAACACAAATGGAAGATGAAATTCAGTAATACAGATGACATGTTTAGGATTTGAATGACACAAATACCCCACCACAATCTCCAAAGACAGTAATTTTCTTTTTCATCCTCCAGTGCCTCAGGTCTGATCACAGGGATAAGGGTAACACTGCACACACTGGTACTCATTTTTTAAACTGAGAGTAAAGCGCCGAGTGTCTGGACCCTGTGGATGGGACCTGCCCATCTGGGCATGAGTAGCCAATTCTCTGCTCACAGGAACTTAAAGGCTTGCAAACTGTAGAGACTTGGGTGATAGCTGCTGTTTCCTGCCTCAGTTCATCACTTCTGTCTCCACTTACCAGGCAGAGAAGAGAAAGAGTAAACTGACACATTGCTTATTGCTGCTCTAATCCTTCTGGCCTCCATCTCAGCTCTCCTCCCTGCCACATGCTATGGAGCTCTAACACAAATCAGTCCTTCCTCACCCATCCTCCTGGCTCCAAAGGCACCTGCAGACCCGTTTTACACTATGGAAAACCTGTTGTGGTGGCAATACCTGGTCTTTCAGCCCTGGCTGTGGTCTACCCTGCTCCTCTCTCTGCGAGATGCGCTGCAGGAACATGCACAGGAGTATGGACCTGGGCACTGAGCCAGTCCCCAGATGGCACAGTCTATCACACCACATAATCCCTTTTGCTCTGACTTGCCATGACGACCCAGAACCTCTTCTTGTGCAAGGTCCAGGTTCTGCAGCCCTTCTCTTACAATGGTTCTGCACCTGCTCTGAAATCTCCTCTTAAAACACCTTTTAGCCCTCACATTTCTCCTCCCTTCCGTCTATGCGCTAACATCCTAACAACACACCCGCGATGCATTTGACAAGGAACTGCCCCGGCTGAAGCCGAGTCCTGTACCTTGAAGGAGATTTCTGTTGTCATGGTGAAGCCGTGGGTGATGACCGGCTCCTCCTCCGCCGTGCGGCCCTTCCAGCAGTCCAGCTCCACACAGCGGCAGCCCGACAGCAGCACCTGCCGGTACATCTCCACCGACGAGCTACCGGCCAGCTGGCCCGCTGCAGCACCACACAAAGAACAGGCAGGTCACTTCGGGGCCTCAGGAGGGAGCACAAGTAATCTGATAATCACTACAGTTTACAGCATCTCTCAGCCTCCACTAGAGTTTAATACAAGAGAAAAGCAACCTCCTGCACAGCCACCACTGACACCATCATTTGTGGTCTCTCATCAGTGTTTAATGCACCAACCACTGCACTGAGTTCATCTGTTAAATTTCCCGATATGATATCACATTATGTAGGGAGAAAGTTATTTAAACTACCAGCACTGGTTTCCAACAATTACAAAATATAAATCTAAATTAAAAAAGGAAAATTCAGCTTTTCCCAAACTCAAGAAGTATTTAAAAGAACCCCCCAAAACCCACAAGGAAATCCAGTTGTATTCAAGGAAGGATATCCAGCCAGGGTGTCTTCATCTGCTGCAACAGAATACAAAATTCTTGCAGCAGAGGTGAAGGTAATTGATGAATGGCTTAGTGCTTGGTTTAGATGTGAAGAAAATGGATGCAATTTCCTGCTTTCTAGCAGACTTCCTGAGAAGACCTTCCTGGATTACTGAAAGAGAATTCACTCCCTTTTTAAGGAGGCGGTGAGTTAATTTAAACCAAGGATTTTTCACTGGTCAGGGACATGTAAATACTTCATTGAGACTGGCATATGATACAATGCAGATTAATCTTCATTTTATTGCTTCTGTGGGTCTGTGTTTAGTTTTTCCACTAGGAATGACATGTCTTGTTTTGATTCACTAAACATCATTGTCTGCTTTCTACGTATTTTTACCTTCCACTAAAATCTGCAACAGCAAACCCTTTCTATTTGAAAATTCCTGTTTACCATTTGTGTCTGACACATGAGCTGGAACAACCATAAAAACTCTACAAGGTATTAACGTTACTGCTAATGAAATCTGTAAGATTTCTCAGCTCCTGCTGGAGCCAATGGGAACTACATGTTAGTAGCAGAAGAACGGGGACAGCTTTGGCAGGTTCTGAAAATCCAAAGGGCGTCAGCAAAGGGACGAGGTGTCTAATTTGGTTTTGGCTTAATTTTTTCCTGTGTTTCCCCTTTGATTCTGGCAGATTATCTTTATGCTGCCTAAAAAACTACATTCACTTAGAAATCTATTTTCACACTGTCTTTTCCCTCAAAGCATATTGAATTTGGATTAACAAACTCCACTATACTTCCTGAGAGACTACTGGCTGTTGTTACTGCTGAGTGGTTTGGACCACAAGATGCTTAACCTTCAAAAGTGCTTAAGTAAATCATGACATGCATCGCTTGCCATATGACACTTCTCCATGCTGTCTTATTAATAAGGCTCAGATGTTTTGGAAGGATTCCTGCTAAGGAGAAGAGGATATTCAATCTCCAAAACATTCAATTTTCAGCAAGACTCCCAGTCAGACTGTGAAAGGCTAGCAAATGTTTTAATAGTCTCAACAGCTTTTCTGAAATACGGAATATTAGGAATGTTCCCCCAAATATTTTTTTTTGGTGTATATTATTTATACATTTCTGTTGTGTGAGTCTTTATCTGCATCCATTCTAAACTACCCCTTTCACAGATGCATTCTGAAATATGCTAACACAGACACTAAAGGGAACACTTCCAGTATGATATTTTTAATATCCTGAGAACAGATAACTTTTTTAATACTGGAAATTGAAAGCATTATGTATTCCCTTCTGTAACATACAGCAGCTACAGTAACACTGTAATATTTGTATCCCATCACTCTGTACTGGATAAGGAGAAACAGATTTTGACAAAAACTCAACTTTTCTCAAAAATACGATAAGCCAAATCATACCTGACAAGACACTAGCCAAAATGAGCCTGTGCTAAGTGATATAAGCTGAGGATATGACCCATATTTCCCCATACAGAAGAGTTCCACACTTCCATAACTTCAAGCTGTCCATTTCTCAGGAATTGCATTAGTTGGGTTCATTCATCTCCGCTCGTCCAAGTGCAAGTTATTATTTGCAATAAAATTTTAAGAAACATATCCTGCTAAAATGGAGGGATATTTCAATCCAGGTACTTGGAGTCACCTGGCCCTTCACTATGGAACCAGAGGCTGCTTCTGCCCCCGTGCCCACCCATGGCACCACCCCTGAATGAAGAAATGCCTGGATACTCCCTCTGCTGTGCACAAACCTGAGTGGCTGAACCTTCTCTCTCAGAGAAGTCCTGGAGGAGCCATCAGTGCTCCCAATCTCAGGCTGTAGTTTGCAGAGTGCAAACTCAGAGCCCTGTGCTTCTGGGAGTCTGGCTCCTGACTCCAGCAGCAGCAGAAGGTGCTGGCAGCTAAGATCTTTTTAGACACAGTACATTTATCTGAATTTATTTTCCTCCCAAATTATTTTGCCAGGCACAGGACAATCGAATTAGACCCCACACTGTGCCATATTCTGCTACTGCTTGTCTTAAGTCAAAGTAAGGCTCTCACGCTGTGGCTGTTAGTTTTAACACCTCACGTTGAGCCAAAGCAGGATGCATGGTCAGATCTGCTCCAGCCAGCAGCAGGGATAAAGCTGCCAGCACTGATTCAGGCCCACCCAAGCAGAAGGTGCAATGCTTGTGTACCCCAGGAGGGCTGGGGCTGGCCAGCCTCTGAGTTTGCACTTGTGCTCAGCTGCCAGCAGCACCCGGGCAGCTCCCATACTGCAGCCAGCCCACGTGACAACCCTCATCTGAGCTGTGGGACCCACGTGGAAAAGGCTCACTGCATGTCCAGCTGAGTCTCTCCAACTGCAGTGAGGTTCTGGGACCTCCTTACAGGGCCTTTCCCCTGCTGCTGGCTCTCTGTATCTTTGTCTTGGAGATTTCAGCTGTTTGCAGATCTTCAAACGCTGCAGTTGGTGTCAGAGAGGTTACCCAATCCTCCACACAGCTTCATCCTCCTTGAAGATCTTATTTCAATATGCCTCAAATAACCTATCTCTTATTTCAATATGCTTCAGCTGGTTGGCCTGAAGAGGCAAATAAGAGGAGGCACAGAGGATCATGAAAACTCACTGAGCAGCAGTGAATAAAATATTACTTAAAGGAAACAAACAATGATCTTGACTCTTCTTCTCATTCTTGAGAACCCAGTTATCTCAGACTAAGCAGTATGTTTTTTCAAGCTTTATATTCACCTCTGCTGCTACTGGAGGTATGCTTCTTCTAGAAATTTTGGTGTTGGCTGATGATCTGTATTAGAATAATTAATTAAACAGGGAAGCAGATGCTGAGGGTGAATGAGATGATCCCACATTGGCTATGCACACTAAATTGATAGCTCTGGAACTTACTGCTGCTATTTATTTTTTCCTTTTAACCAAAGACAAAACATGTTTAAGGCTTGTGATTTTCATCTTTTGCATTTCACATATACAACAGAAAGTTGCACAGCCATCAAAGTGTGCAATGCTGATAATCATTTGTCTTTGACTTCGGGTGCTGCTGAGAGAAATGCTGCGAAGTCACTTCCCACTGTGACAACAGCAGTAACCTGAGGTAAGACTGTGAAGAAATCAGAAAAAAAGCAGAGTTGTACACTAAGGGTTCAAAGGAATAAATAAATATGATATTAGTGAGTAAAAAGATGAGAGACAGTAAAAAAGTTTCCAAAAGATGACATTTCTTTAAGCTGACCTAGGTTCACTATAAATCACTCCTTTCTTCATGGACTTTTACCTTTGTTCTTAAAAATTACATTTCCCTATGAAAAAGAAAGCAGTAACACTTCTAAATAAATAATCAGGACTTGATGTACTGCCAAGGGTTTCTACTAAAGGCTAGGAAAATGATCAGTGTAATTAAAAATAAATTCAGAGTGTGCACATGTTTCTTTTTATTTTATAATACTGTTTCTTTGTGCATGCTTTTCTGGGTTTAAAAAACTAACAAAGGGAGAGATAATTGATAGGGCATTAAGCACAGTAATCATAAAGTATTGCTAGACTGAACTGTTCTCTTATTGTCCTAATAATTATTACATGACTAGTTGCTATTTCACAGCTCCAGTGAGGGTAGAGGTGCTACTAAAGGTTCCCTTCCACAGCCACGAGCTTCTGAGCAGACCCTTCGAAATCCTCCTGGGCAAAAGAATAGCCTGGCACCATCGATTTTATTAATTTTACCAAGTCCTTGTTGGAAGAAAGAAAAAGGCAGCATGATTGCTGTATCCAGTCTAGCCTCAAAGCAAAACCTAAGGCTGTGAAGTTCTCGCAATATGCAGATAAAAATCAAATCATTAATCCTATTGTCAGCCAGCTGCCAGATATCCACCCAGTGTAATGAACCCACTAAAAGGGGAGGGCATGTGTTTTGTGCCTGTAAATGTGAAAATACACTGTCTGAAATGGAATTTGAAAGAGATTCAAACTTATTTTGTACCATCCCCTGTGTTTACAATGATTTACTCCCCCCAATTTACTCAGCCAGGATTATTATGTTAAATTAAGACTGAGGATCATACATTCAAATGCAGCTTTTGAAATTATTTAGAAATGCAGGCAAAGAAACCCATAGATGCAATCCAAGATGATTTTCAGATTTTCACGTGCAACTTAAAGTGAATTTGGCAAGTTTCAAGGTAAACTTTCTCCTAAAATTGTCATGTATGTTATGCCACTTGTGGTGCAGTTAAAATTAGAATAAGTTGTACTAATCGTGAATTCCCAACCTTAATTTTTTGTTCTTTAGCTTCTGTGCTTCTAGACCTTTAGAACATGACTCTGTCCTGACCAGCCCTGATAATCATCTGTGGCATGGTACTGGCTATAAATTCATGCTGGTATAGGGGAGAGCAGTATTTTATCTCTTCAGACCAACTTTAAACTGCACCATCTGTCCTCCCTGTGGGTCAAAGCTGTTGTATAAGTGTGGGAAGCATAACTGTTTTCTTCTAGAAAATCTGTCTAAAGCTGCAGCATTTGGTTTAAGTGGGTCCTAATCCTCACTGACAGAACCAAGTTCGTGCTGAAGGTAAGAGGCCTGCAAAATATCATAATTAAAAATTGCTTTTGCTTTGGACATGTCTGCACTCTTCCAAAGAGCATAAATTTCTGCATATTGGAATCATAACTTAAAAGTGGCCACACTGATTTTCATTTCTTTTAATTCAGAGAAACAAAATAGCTGTCAAGCCAAATAATTATATGACAAGTTTTATACCACAAAACACATTTTACAGCCAAGACATAAACGTCTGAAAAATGGTGTCTAATGGAAAGAG